CTCTCTTTTAATTACTACTTTTCAGAGTAAGACACTTGGGGGTGATTCTGACCTGTTTGCCCTCACATCTGTTCATTGCCCTTCCCTGCCTGGGGGAGGAGAAGCTGAGCCCTACAAGCCCCCTCCCCTGTCTCTGTCTCTAATACCGGAAGATTGAGGGGGAGGGAGGTCAGATCCGGAGTATTCCCCTACTGCCCATCCACTCCCTTGAGTTTCTAGAATTTAATAACATTATTTTGCATTCATCTTACTGATTTATTTGTAATTTATGGAAAGTGGTGCTGGTTTTTCGTTTATGAGACTGATATCAAGTCTCCTTTTAAGACGCAGTGAAGGAAGCGTAATGCATAGGTAGGGCACAGAAGAGGCAAGAATTGTGTAGGCGTCTGTGGATGACTGAAGATTAGGAAACTGCTCTAAGCAAGATTGAGTGTTGAATTCAGGGCAGTGGCAATGGGATTGAGCCGAGGGACTGGGTAAGTTATTAGGTCGGCGGAGTAGACGTAGTGCTGAGTGGAGGTAGAGGACTCTGGGATGCTGTCCTGGGTCCTGGCTGGGTGACAGTACAGGACAGTGCTGTTCACCAAGATGGGGGAGACAGAGGAGAGGCACATTTTTCATTTCTCTTACTAGTAGAGAATCAGGTTCAAATGTTAAGTAGAATAGACACAAAGTCAAAACTTGAATGTTTTTTACAATCATCTGAAGAAGATACAGATTTAGTATGATAAAATAAGGTTTATGTATAAAATGCAAGTGTATTTTGGGTAATGAGCTAAAGTATAGGAAAGTGAGTGAAAATAGTTTCCTTAATGGAAATTCACTAATGACCCATTTTACCTTGTTGTAGTCCTCGAAACGCTTGCATAACACTTTGTATGAAGTAGGTGCCCAATAGGAATTTGTTAAATTGAGTCAAAAAATAAAATCGCTCTTCTGTTACTGTGCCCTGTAATGTTTCTTACTAATGTCTGTTTTCTAAAGCAGTATTTTTCTGTCTCTTTAATCTTCTGGGATTCTTTGATTAGCAGGGTTGCAAAACTCAACTTTATAAAAAAATTTTTTAGAACGATAGGGTGCCTACAGCCAGTGACTTGATTATTTTTTACAATTTGTCATCAAAGAGCAGCTTTTTAGGATTTAATTAAATACTTATATTTAGGGCCTATTATAATGAGCTAAATCAAGATTTAACCACTACCTTTACATTTTTGTAGAATGGCTTTAAGTGTCATTGTATGTCCGAATCTCATCAGAGACAACTATTGCTGGCTTCAGAAAATCCTCAGCAGTTTATGGATTATTTTTCAGAGTAAGTAACTCAAAGCCATCCTTATATCATAAGCTTTATTCAGTTGGACATTTAATAGATGCTTAATATATTGGAAGCTCTGTTTATTCCTTACGTATTAATGTGATAGCTGTATTATCTTTGTGCTCAGTTTTTGTTTTGACAGTTTATCATTGTGTGGAATTGTTAAAAAAGTATGTCTCACAAATCAGTCTTTCTTCTATTCACTTCAAACATATGAAAAACCATCTCTCAGTCTAAAACAGTTGTAGCTAAGAGCACAGGTCTGGAGTCAGACTGCTTGTCATTAAGTCCTTCAAACCTGGGCTTCTCCACTCAGGAGCTGTGTGACTTTGGGTGAACTTATACAGTTTCTCTGCGCTTTAGTGCCCTCATCTGTAGGTTTTGTACATTTCAAGTATTGTCTTTCCTTCATAGGGTTTATGCGAAGATTAAATGAGTTAATACTTTGAAAGTGTTTAGAAGAGTGGTCAGTACTCGATTAATATTAGCTGTTAATTATTATTATTACAATTAATATTTAGTCTTGCCTCCATCCCTTTCTTTCTTTCCAGGGTTTTAGACCTTTTGGTCTTAAACCCCAAAGACTTTTGTTTATGTGGGTTATAGCGTGCAAATTAGGGATTAAAACTGAGACATTAAAAACATTTATTCATATTAAAATCACAATATAAGCCTATTACAGTTAAAATAACATTTTTACATGAAAATTAACTATATTTTCCAACACACAAAAAGCACACAAAAAAATAAGAGTGGTGTTTTACATTTTTGCAAATCTCTTCAGTGTCTGTCTTCATAGAATACAGTTGTATTCTCACATCTGCTTCTACCTTCATTCTCTTCTGAAATGTTGCTTGGTTGAAATACATAGAGAAAGTCCAGCTTTTACACAGATGTGTAGTTGGAAGCGGGGGGAGTATTTTAATAGCCTTTTCACATAATTTTGGCTATTCTTCTATGATAGTACATTGAAACACATGGTGTGGTAGTTTCTTAAAGATTAGTTGAAATGTGGAATCAGAAACCATATAGCAAACCTTTTTTTTTTTTTTTTTTTTTTAACACGGTCCTCTCACTGTTGTGGCCTCTCCCGTTGCGGAGCACAGGCTCCGGACGCGCAGGCTCAGTGGCCATGGCTCATGGGCCCAGCCACTCCACGGCACATGGGATCTTCCCGGACCGGGACACAAACCCGTGTCCCCTGCATTGGCAGGTGGACTCCCAACCATTGTGCCACCAGGGAAGCCCCTAGCAAACCTTTTGTACTCTATGATATTAAAATCCATGTGATCTTTTACTTTAAGTGGATCTTGTACCCATGCATGGTTTTGTAACATCACACATCAGTCATTTGGAAAATATTGCTTTATTGAGTTACACAGGTATTCTGAAATTCTGAATGGTGATACATTTTATTATGCAATATCATAAAATCATATTCACTAATGTCAACTCAGTGCTGTCAGAAACATCTTTAAGTATTGGGAAGTATGTCAGACTCATGGTGGCAGACACTAGTTTACCAGAATTCACATTTTTTGCTTTAAAGCTCAAATTTTATCATTGGCAACAAATACTGTCAGTTGTTTTTCTTGACCCGACAGGCTCACTTTGTTTATTTTTGAGAAAATATCTACTGAATACTTAATTTGAAATAACTATTGTCTATATGTCTGTCATTTCTCAAATATCAAGTGATGCTTTCATGTTTCTGTGCCAGATGGGAACAGCCTTCTCTTTCTCTTCACCTGTAAACATCTTGGTCAGAATGTATATCTTATTCACCTATGTTTATCTGTCACTTAACACAGTGTGCTTAGCTCAGAGGGACACATTAAGTGCCAACTTCATGTTTTATTATCAATAGAATGGGATAATTATGCCACATTCAGTAGCACTGAGACTCCATGAAGAATCCGCTCCAAAGATGTGTGGTCACTTTTGCTGTGCCACCTTTACCAAGACAAAAAGTTCCAACTCCAACTTGACTTTTAACTTTAATTCTTGAAAGCTGTAGTCTTTCAGGATTTTTCCCTTGTTCAGTTTTTAAAGGTTCAGAACAGATATTCACGTAGATGTTTTATATATCATGTGCTCATGCAAACTATACGATGGCTTAAATTTCAGGAAGGTGATGCTATGTATTTGTAGAAATCACCTTAATGCTTTCTCTCCCTGCTTTATTAGGGAATTCCGAAATGACTTCCTAGAACTTCTCAGGAGACGCTTTGGTAAGTATCTTAAGTCTTGTGCACATAATGACTTTATAATCTCGTAATCTGCTCAGGGTCAGCAGTGTTCTGATTTCTTCTTAGGAACCAAGAGGGTTCACAACAACATCGTTTACAATGAGTACATCAGCCACCGAGAGCATATCCACATGAACGCCACACAGTGGGAGACGCTGACAGATTTTACTAAGTGGCTGGGCAGAGAAGGTAAGAACAAGACATGATGTGAACAGTTGTTATATGGCTGCACTGCAGGGAGGGAGAGAATGATCATATTTTCTGTGTAAATTTATGAAAAAGAGGATGAGTAGGGCAGTTAGAAACTGGTGGAGAGGAGCATAATCTTCCAGGATTGATTTTGTGCTCTGCAGGTGTGTAAGAGCGTCTGGAGCGATTCTTTCAACAGTGCAAAGGTACATCACTGAAGCATCCACTCGTTAGGTTAAGGACCAGTACCTGTCCTCTTCCACTTTTCCCCCTACATTCGTTGCATTCTGGAAACTTTTGTTACCCCTTCTTAAGGCAGTTTTTAAATTTGCTGCCTCTTTTTCCATTTCTAATAGGTTGGAAAGTTCAGGAAAAGAACAGAGAAAGAAATTTTGTATCAAGGTATTAGTTATTGAGTGTGTTTCTTTATTCCATTTTGGGGAAGATTTCTGCTTGGTTAAGTTAGAGTATCCTGTACTCAGTGGATGTTAGGTACTTAGAGACAGTTGAATAATTACTAAGCAAGATAATGCTTTTTTTAATGTTTTCCTTGTTTAAATGTGTTGCCTCAACCTAGTCAAAAATCAAAATAATATTTCTTTTCTCTTTAAAGAGATAAAATATTCCAATTAAAGTCTAAATGTCACTAACTGTAAATATGGAAAATTCATGTGCTGTATGAATTTGTGTATTTGAATGTGTTTCAATGAGTGTATTTGAATGAATGAGTAAATACTGCAGAGAGAGACCACATTTATATGTACTTTCAGCTTTGATTGTATTCAAAATTATAGTGTCCCTTACTGTTTGTTTGTTTGTTTTTTTAATCCATTACTTTTTTAAGGCTTGTGCAAAGTGGACGAAACACCAAAAGGCTGGTATATTCAGTATATAGATAGGGACCCTGAGACGATCCGCCGGCAGCTGGAACTAGAGAAGAAGAAGAAGCAGGACCTTGATGATGAAGAAAAAACTGCCAAATTTATTCAAGAACAAGTGAGAAGAGGTCTGGAGGGGAGAGAGCAGGTGGGCATCATCAAGAGAGGCAATAGACAAAGGTCTGAAGAAGCAAAATCGCTTGTTCGTTTAAGCCTTGAATGAATTTTGTAGGAGCAAGAGCGTAGCCAAGTATAAAGGTCCAGGCTGTGGAGTTGAGACAAACCTGGGTCCATTCCGGACTTACTGACTTCACAAGTTTGTGTAATTATGGAATCTTCTAAACCTCAGTTTCCTCATCTCTAAAATAGAGTCAGTAGCTAGTGGCAAAGACATAAACAGAGCGTTTCAAACTGATTATAATTAATGCGGTGCCAGGGATGAACACAGTGTGTGAGAACACAGAGGGCTGGCACTTGCTCCAGCCCGGGGAGGACCTAGAATATTTGGAGGTAGATACATCCCCTAGGCTGAGGAGTCTTGAGGAATTAATGGGTAAAATCCAGGTAGATGGGGAAGGGAAAGCATGATAAAGTTGGTTCAGGTGTTAGAATAACTAGATCAAGGCATTTATTTCAACAGACATTTATTGGTCACCTCCTGTGTGCCAGGCGTTCTTCTAGGCACTGGGGATACAGCCAGTGGACAAAAGATAAAAATCCCTGCCCTCAAGGAGCTTACATACTAGAAGTTGTGTGTGAGCAGGAAAATACAGCCTAGTGTGTATGTGAAACTACTAGCCATTTAGTATTTTTAAAAACTTTTTATTGTGCTGTAGCACACATGAAGTAAAGTAGATGATGTGCATTAATCTTAAGGTTACAGCTCAATGAACTTTCACATATGTGTGTGTCTTTAGATGGATGGATGGATGGATCAATAGATAGGTAGTCCATGTGGCCACCACTCAGATCAAGATATGGAACATTTCTAGTATCCTAGAAGGTTCCCTCATGCCCATCCCCAATTAATATTCCTTGTCCTCTAAGAAGAAAGCACTGTTCTGATATACTATTGATTGTTGGTTAGTTTAGTCTGCCCTTGAACTTCGTAGGAATGGAATCATCCAGTTTGTTCTCTCTGTGTCTGGCTTCCTTAGCTCACCATAATGTTCTGTGTGTGTAGTTCGTCTACATCCTTTCCTATCAGTGCTTCACTCTTTTTTTTGATTGATGCATTTCATTTTACAAATATAATACAATTTATTTATCCATTCTCCTGTTGGGAAGCATGTGGCTCGTTTCCAGTTTTTAGCTATTATGAGTACAGCTGCTCTGATCATTGTTGAGCACATGTTGTATAAGCCGTTGAGTACAGAGTGATGCAGGAAGTAGCAGGCGATGAGAATTAAGACATCAGTGAGGATCACTTTGTGAATCAACTTTTATACCATGTTGATTGAACTCTTTGATAAGTGAGAGAGTGAGTGTGTGTTACGTTACTTACATTAACATGCATATTGTCACACAATCTTTTAGGAGTTTTCTACATTAAATTAAAACACGAACAGTGCTTAAACTGCTGTAGATGTGAAATTTAAACCCCTTAAGACTGAAAGCTTTTTATTCTCTTGCTTTTTAAAAATTTAAATCTTCATTTTCAATAGAGAAAAAATTATAACTTCCTATCGTGGAAATCACAAAGGATTCACATCTTGTACTGAGGAAAGAGGTTTACTTTTTGGAATAACGTTATTGCTCTGTAACATTTTAGCTTAATATTGCTAAAACCTTCAAGTTAATTGTACTTTTCAGGTGTAAACAGTATCTTTACCCAAAAAAGCAGGGGAAATTCTATTGATCAGTGCTTCCTCATTCTACATTTAAACATATCAATTTTTTCAAAGTAAGATCATGTTCTTTTGTGTTCCTTTATGAAATCCTATATGGACATTACCTACCAAAATATTTTAGCTAGATCTCAAGGTCATCCTTCTTATTTACCAGTAGTAACAACAATTAACATTTATCAAACACTACAGCAGGCACTATGCTAAGTGTTTTATTTATATTATCCTAATTAACCCTTATCATAACTCTAAATATGTAGGTTATCCCTACTTTAAAGATGTTAACGATTGAGCCTTCAGGGAGATGGTGAGATTGATCGAGATGACAAGGCTCATAGGTGGCAGAGGAGGATTTTATACACAGTCTTCTTCGAGTTAGTCTTAGACCCTTGATCCTTACACTAAAGCGCACTACAAAAGAGAGGTTTTGCTGTGTAAAGTACTCCTCTAGCTAAGATTCCTAGAGTTTATTGCTTTATGTTGTTGTTTCCTGCTTAAATTGTAATAGAAATACAAATGTAGGTTAACTTCTGCAGTTTGGTACGTAAAAGCTACTTTTTTTCCCCCCGTAGGGTAACTCTTTATTGGAGAATATTTGCAATACATATAATTTCTTAATTAGTATCTTAACCATTTTAGGTAGCAAGTCACAATTAAGGACTATTGAATATTGATGGTAAATGCAGTTGTGAACCAAACCTTCAAACTTTTTTTTTTAAAGGAAACACCTGTTTTTACGGAATTAAGCAGAGAAAATGATGAAGAAAAAGGTAGTTTTACTTTCTTTCTTCCTTTTTTAATATGGATGCTTTTGTATTGGCTCTGCCAAAAACTAGCAACATGTTTGGGAGCAAGAGGTGTTATCTGTCTGGATTGTTCTCCTCAGTAAAATGAAAAGGTGATAACAATGAATTGGATGGAATGCCTACAGCAACAAGTAACCAGACTGAGTAAAATGAGCCTAAACAATAAGGAAATACCTTGCCATACCAAGAGTCCCAGAGGTAGGATGGTTCCGGATGCCACACTATCAGCAGCTGGACACAAGGTGGCTGCCGGCAGTCCAGCCGTCATATGCAGACCCAGTATTGTCCAGAAGAAGACAGAGGGCATCTCCGTCCTTTGGAGTCCCCTGTGAGCAAGGAAACTTTTCCTAGAAGACCTTCTTCCCACCAGCAGACTTCCTTTTGAATGCCATTGACCAGACTGTATCACATGTCCACCTCAAAAACAGTCACTTGGAAAGGGAGTGGAATTATTTTGATTGGTTTAGACCAAAGAGCCTTACTAATCACCTCCCATAGGTCCCACCCCCTAGTCCCATCGCCTTGGGCATTAGGTTTTCAGCATTTGGATTTGGGAGGGGACACAAAGCTTCACACCATAGCATCCTCCAAGCCGTAGGTGAGGGGTATGGACACCCAAACAAAATTGGATTCCTGTTACCAAGGGCAGAGGGGCAGTGGAGTGGGGAAGTGGCTGTCTGCTACATCATTTGATGGTCTTTCCCAGCTCTGTAAGCATCAGTCCAGTATATTTTACAGGAGTTTATGATCTCTGGGTAGGAGCATTCCAGCTCTCAGGTATTCAAAATGTCCATGAATGTCTACATGGCTGCATTGTGATATTAATTATAATTTTTATTATAATTTTGTTTTATTATATCTGATGTTTTATTATAATTTTCCTGAAATATATATGGAATACCAATTCTTTTCTTCCAGTTACATTTAATTTGAATAAAGGAGCATGTAGTTCAGGAGGAGCATCTTCCAAATCAAGGTGAGCTATGTGAACAGGTATCTTAGAACCTGAAAATTTTGATGAAATGTTGATTACTACATTTTAAAAGGTGCAGTACTGTGAATTATTTTTTTCTGGTTGTTATTTTCATCTCTTTTTCTTTTTTGTTTAATGATTGTTTTGTTTTATTTTCTTAGGAACTGTTTTTTTTCTTATTTGCCTATGATGAGCTGATTCTGTCTTTTAAGGAAAAGCTCATTTTCATTAAATGCTTCACATGGTAAACATTAGCTTCTCCCTGAAAGCTTCTCCACTTAAAGGTTCTTTCTGTGCTCTGGCAATACTATTCAGTTTTCTGTCATAGCCCACTATCAAGTTCCTTAGCTGGAGTACACACTTCTTGTTTTACCTGCTCTATTATGATTTTCTGAGAACAGAGACTAACTTATTCAACTATCTCCTTAGCACCTGGTAGAATATAAGTGCATTAGTAGACACTCAGTAATAATTGCCTTCCCTTCTAGATGGTGTGGTACTGAGCAAGACTTGACCAGCCTTTTCTATAAAGAGCCACATAGTAAATATTTTAGACTTCGTTGGCCATGTGTCTTTGTCATCACTTACCTCTGCTCTCAGAGTGAGGATGCAGCCATAGATGATACATAAATGAATGAGCTTGGCTGTGTTCCAATAGAGTCTTATTTATAAAAACAGGCAGCAGACTGGATCCGGCCCTCAACTGCAATTTTTCAAGCCCTGGTATGGCACGTAGTCAGGTATTTATATCTACTTTTCATGTTCTCTTCTCTTGCAGTTCTCATATATTCTTTCACCAAATATCTGTGCAGTACTTGTGATGTGCAGTGCATTCAGTTTGGTTATGGAGGTGAAAAGATAAATCAGACAGGATATTCAGAAGGGCACTGTATATTCAGTATCTACTGGAATTTAGTTTTAAGCTGGGTGATTTGCTGTTTTACTTAATATTCCACATGGTGCTTATTTAACCTAACTCAGTTTTTTGTTTGTGGGAGTTTTTTTTCTTTTTTTGGTTTACAGGCTAGTGGTTATTTGCATGACAATAAGTGTCTAGGAGAATTGAAGGAAACGGGCAGTCTGAGTCAGCAATGCCTAACTGCTTCAGGATGACTTGCCAACTGTCTTAACTTTGACCAAAGTGTTTCAGTAGTAACATCTATATTAGATATCATGAAGAAATTGGTTAATTGGGTTCTATATATGATACATTTGAAAAGAAAATTTCTTTTCAAAGTATTGCTGTGATATGACCAGGAAGACAGGCTGGAGTATATCTTAACACATGCCATATAGTTTTGGACCCTTAAGTGTTTCTATTTTCTTTTATTATTTGTTATTCCTAAGTGTAGATGAATGCTGAGATTGGTCCCACTGGGCCCCAAATTGATCGCCCTTATGTTAGTTTTCTATGGCTGCTGTAACAAGTTACCACAAACTAGGTGGCTTGAAACAGCAGAAATTGATTCTGTCTCTGGAGGCCAGAGTTCTGAAATCAGTATCCTTGAGCCAAAATCAAGGTGTCTGGAGGCCTGTGCTCCCCCCAGAGTCTCTGGGGAGAGTCTGTTCCTCACCTCTTCCGGCTTCTGGTGGCTGCAGGCATTCCTGGGCTTTTGGTTTCATGCCT